AAATCTGGCCGTTAAAAAATTTCATGCGATCCCACATTGCCATGTTTTATATTGTAGTGGAAAATTTGTGTTTCGGAAAACGCAGTATTGTGTTTTAAGCGCCCCGGTACCTCATGTAGTATTAAGACACTTGTACAGTTTCTATTTATGTTTATTCTTACCAAATACGGAGCAAGATATATTTTTATATCAGAGTAAATAACAAATTTCTTTCTACTGAAGGGAAGGGGTTTGGTTCAATCTTGGCGGAGCGCTTTGTTCGACTATCGTGTAAAAATCATGTAAGTTAACTTTTGTATCCTTCTCTCTGATTTGCATATCGATGTTTTTAGTTACTTGTTTTATCACGGAAAACCTGTTATTATCAAGAGACACTATTATATTATGGAAATATGTAAGTTTATTTTTAATGTAGATATGAATAAGTTTGTATTTTTTAGTTATGTCATGATCAGCTTTTAAGAAGGTAGAAAATAAAGGGTTCCTGCTACAGTGACTGTCACCTTAGACAGGTTAGCTTGCAGGTAACATCTGTGTCCATAATATCACCACCTTGAGAAACAGTGTGCTTAAAGATATTTTTACTGCAACATACTTTTGTATGCACTCCTTCACACATCAAATGTACATGCCTAGGGTATGTTGCAGTAAAAATATCTTAAAGCACACTGTTTCTCAAGGTGGTGGTATTATGGACCCTGGTGATATTATGGACACAGATGTTACATGTTAGAGAACATGTGTGCAGGTAGAACAGGTAACGTTACAGTAACACATCAGACTGGTGTAGTGCAATGTTAACTGGCTGTTGTAGAACTTCTGTAGTTTCCTGTATATGCGACACAATCCTTCAGTATGCACATCTCACTGTAAAACCACGAGGGGAACCCCATCTCACACGGTCATAGGGTGAGGGTACAATTCAAGTGTCACGAATATGCAAATGAGGTACCTCTACATGCAAATTAGGCATCATTAAATCATGACCACACTGGTACCCTTTGCTGGGCAGTCATCTTCAAGCGGATACAAGTCTACAACTTTACCATATGTGGTGGCTAACAGTAAGAGGTGGCCAGAAAGGCGCTAAAAGACGTGGACAACAAGCCACACCCAGCATCTGCTTGGATTTTAAATCTGAGTTAAAATCTGCCAGAGTGTTTTGGGGGATTCTTGGGAAGTTTTTCAGTGATGTGCTGCATTCTGAAGGTCGACAGTTCAACACCTACTTAAGTGTTTGTTGACTTGTATGTATAGTCATGCCCCCTATCTGTGCATGAAAGTACTGCAGATTTCACAGTCTGTACCCATATTATAGTGCAAGGCATTTTCGTTGTACTTCAACATCTCATATATGAATATATATCTATACATTTATAAATGTACCGAAGCAGTCAAAGTTTTATGTTTTAAACAAAAATAATTACTATGTTTTTTATGTCTAGGCTGTACTTATGGAATATCAGCTGAAGGCTTGAATGAGACCCAACCAATATTCAGTGTATATAAAATCACTCATTCAATCACTAATGCAGAATATCAAACCATAGCATATCAGTTATTATTATTATTATTATTAAAGTGGATTTATTAAATTGACTCTGGTCTTATGTTGATTTTTATGGTCTGTGTGTGTGTGAGTGTAAGTATGTGTGTATGTGTGAGTGTTAGTGTGTGTGTGTGTCAGTGTGTGTTTGTGTGTGTGTGTCAGTGTGAGTCTGTGTGTATGTGTGAGTGTTAGTGTGGGGCTTCGCATCCAGAATCTTTAGATTCTACGTCGACAACCCTGACCAAAGACCACCTTTCCACCTCTGTCCACAGTATCTCTAACAGCCACAAGGTAAACAGATTCAAGTTATGCTGACTACAAAGTTATTATGCAGAAACATGTCCTTCCCTTGCATTACGGAATGTATGAGCCCAGTGAACCCTGGTATGAACCCTGAGAGGGCTTTCAGTGCCCCGAGGCATAGTGAATGTAAGCTGTACACAAGACTGTTGATGTAAGATGTTAAGAACATGACTCAGTGGAAAGTCCTGACAGTGGCGCAGCAAAAATTCCCACACAGAACTCTCATGCACCAGTACAGGCAGGAACAGACAAGTCTCTACCCAGGCAGGTTCACAGCTGTGGAGTCTCAGACATCCAGGTGAGGTTTTAATGCATTTCAGACATCCAGGTGAGATTTAGACATGTCTCAGACATCCAGGTGAGATTTAGACATGTCTCAGACATCCAGGTGAGATTTAGACATGTTTCAGACATCCAGGTGAGATTTAGACATGTCTCAGACATCCAGGCGAGATTTAGACGTGTCTCAGACATCCAGGTGAGATTTAGACGTGTCTCAGACATCCAGGTGAGATTTAGACGTGTCTCAGATATTCAGGTGAGATTTAGACGTATCTCAGATATTCAGGTGATATTTAGACGTGTCTCAGACATCCAGGTGAGATTTAGACATGTCTCAGACATCCAGGCGAGATTTAGACAAGTCTCAGACATCCAGGAGAGATTTAGACATGTCTCAGACATCCAGGTGAGATTTAGACATGTCTCAAACATTCAGGTGAGATTTAGACATGTCTCAGACATCCAGGTGAGATTTAGACGTGTCTCAGACATCCAGGTGAGATTTAGACAAGTCTCAGACATCCAGGTGAGATTTAGACATGTCTCAGACATCCAGGTGAGATTTAGACGTGTCTCAGACATCCAGGTGAGATTTAGACACGTCTCAGACATCCAGGCGAGATTTAGACGTGTCTCAGACATCCAGGCGAGATTTAGACGTGTCTCAGACATCCAGGTGAGATTTAGACGTGTCTCAGACATCCAGGTGAGATTTAGACGTGTCTCAGACATCCAGGTGAGATTTAGACGTGTCTCAGACATCCAGGTGAGATTTAGACATCCAGGTGAGATTTAGACATCCAGGTGAGATTTAGACGTGTCTCAGACATCCAGGTGAGATTTAGACATGTCTCAGACACTTAAATTTCAATCTAAACCCTTGGCGAGGGGTCAACAACCTGAAGGACAAAAAAGTTGTCCGACGAGTGACTGTCTGTGTGTACATGTTCTCCGTCTGTGCCTAGATATTGGATATACGGATAACAGTTCTAGACATACACATTTTCACCTGAGTTTAGTTTAAGTGAGCCGCCCACTGCAGCCATGGCACACAACCGGTCGGTTGTGCATGTGGTAGGTTGTGGTGTTTAGGCAGACCCCTATGATAATGCTGAAGAATCCTAGCCTGGTTACCAAACCTATTATAGCTCCGAGTCCTACAGCCTCTCCGCAAATAGTTAAGACGAGATTTAGTGATTACATGTTTCGGAATAAAAAAAAATAAAAAAAACACCAAAAAACACTATTATAGCTCCTACTCGGGAGCTATAATAGGTTTCGTAACCAGGCTAGAAGAATCCACGTTACGTCACCTGGTCACTGCTACTTGGGTCTCAGCCTCGTCTAATTATTATACAATCCTGTTTCTGCTTCTTATCGTTCACAGACAGTACTGTGAGCTCACAAAGGAAGTCCGCTGGCAGCTATTTTACAGATCTTGCATTGTCTTTCTTCTTCCGGTATGGTCCGAGTCTGGAGGGGCTGATAACACAGTGTTGCACAGTCACGCACTTCCTACAAACTTTGAGCGTCAGCCAAGTTCACATACGCCCCGCATCACACTTCCTGATGTTGGCTGAGCAGTGCAGATACACTTCGCTTAACGTTTGGCTAAAAGACGCAGTTAAGACGGACTCCCCGAGACTTTAAGGAGTTTGGAGACTGAAGATAACTAACTTCCATACTGAGGTGAGTCAATCAACTTGTCTGTTACCCTACAACATGGTACCTGATGTATTTTCTGTCCTGATGATGGGAGCTAAATTTGTTGGAAGGATTGCTCAAGTGTTAGAAAAAATGGCGACAAGGAAATGTTGAACAGGAAAAATGCCAGAAGGCACGTAGTTGACACACAGTCGGCTGCCTTTAGGAAGAAGAACTTTTTTGCACGACAATTGCACATGGTACAATGTATGGCAAACTACATAAAGAGAGTAGCAACAATAAAATAAGTGTGTTGAATAAGACCTTATGTCTAATAAAACCTAACATATCTATATCATAATTATTCAAATAATAAGGGATAGCACAAGTCTTTGATAAAGTGTAACAATCGAGTGGGCTAATTTAGGTGTAACCCTGGATTTATTGGCAGGATAAAGATCTACTAGCTTAAAGGAACTCTCTAGAATTTCCACTTCTACTTAAGACACTTATACAAGGATGATAGGAAGGAGATTTCATAGTTTATTAGACATTAACTCATGTCAACATTAACAGGAAACAATTACCAGTGATCATAGACGGCATCAGTTACAACAGATACTGAGAAATGTTTCTGAATTTTCCCCAAACTTTGCCTGCTTACCGAGGTGTTCCCAGATATCTTATATAACCCACCAACGCTGTACTTTATGATTCTGTGAACTACTGACGGCCTTACACGCCTTTGTTCTATTTTTACAGACGCCATTTCCTTGTCTTGTACCATTGGAAAATCTGAAGGTATCTTCCTTCCATACTGAGGTGAGTCAATCAACTTCTCTGTTACCCTACAACATGGAACCTGATGTATTTTCTGCCCATGAGAGCTAAATTTGTTGGAACAATTGCTCAAAATGGTGATGAGGAAATATCAAACAGGAAAAATGTCAGAAGGCACGTAGTTCACACAGTCGGCTGCCTTTAGGTGTAACCCTGGACTTTTTGGTAGGATAAAGATTAACTAACTTAGAGAAACTCTCTAGAATTTCAACTTCTTCTTAGGACACTTATACAAGGAGATTTCATGATCTAAAACAACTTATGTCAACATTACCAGTGACCATACATAAAGACGTTATTATCGAATGTTAATAGTAGTCATAATGTTTGTATTTCATAATGTATGTAAGAGCCATATCATGAAGCAAAACCTCATACCTTCGCCAAATGATGTTAATCTTTATGACTGACAACTTATAGATTATGCCCCCTGATATTATTCAAATAGGATCCTCATTTCCATGAATTATATCAGTTGATTATATTCTCCACCAAAATAAAGAATGCCTTTCTAGCATTTCCTCATAAATAAATAAATAAATGAATAAGTTATGTTTAATTATGTTCACCTTCACTTAACTTTCAAATACCATATGCATGAAATTCCAGGCAGTTACCATTGCTGAATTACAATATTTTCTCATTGATTATGCAAATTAACTCTTAATTTGCATAATCAATATCTGCCTGTGTTTCTCTTGTTCTCAATTACATATGTCACAAGCTTGAATATTCCTATCATGTAACGCAATTAATTTATAGAATTTTCTCACAAATTATGAAAATTACATTCATATTTGCATAATTGTCACATAAGAATGTCTAGGATTACGTAAGCTACCTACATACCAAAAATCATGACGATCTGTCAACCGGTTCTTGAGTAAACTAAGATGAATTTTTATGATTTCAGGCATTTTATGATAGGTAGAGATTGGCATGGCTAAAGTCTGATTATGTTACATCAGGACCTAGATTTTAGGAAACGTGATAAATCAGACCTTGTTAGTTGTTACAATTATAATTAAAGGCTAGCACCGATACAGGACTAGAAATTCAATCAAATTCAGAGGTTTGTGCTCTGGTAGTAAGGGGTTAAAAAGAATTAATTGATATGTGCTTAAGTATTAGTATGGCGGTGAAAATCAGTGAAATGTTTTGCAATTAAGGGCAGGTGAAAACTCGGTTCTGTCCAGTAAAATTATGGCCACGTACTGATCCCATTGGGATGTTGGATTTTTCCAAAGCTGCCAACTTTCATTCTGATGTATCTCATCTCTGTTGAACAGGCAGCACTTCAGTATGTCCAACAAAGCGAGGAGGATGCTGGTTCTGCTGCTGATCATCCTGAAGGAAGCTGGCGCGACTCAACGGTGGGACTCAACCTGCAGCAGCAGCTGTTCATCAGACTGTTGGTGCTTCAACAGAGGCCTCAGCAGTGTTCCTCAGGACCTGCCTACATACATCACTCAGCTTCACTTGTACAGCAATGCCATCACAACCTTAAATCAGTCTGATTTCTCAAGGTACAGGAGCTTGACATGGTTACACCTTGGTGACAATCAGATCTCCATGATCCATAACAAAACATTCCATGACTTAACCAGCCTGACTTACCTGAACCTTCATGATAATCATTTGACCACTCTGCCAGCTGACATATTTGTGGGACTTGGTAATCTGCGGTACTTGTCTCTTCACACTAACCAGTTAACAAGTCTGTCAGCTGACATATTTGTGGGACTTGGTAATCTGCAGGAGTTGTGGCTTTACTCTAACCAGTTAACAAGTCTGTCAGCTGACATATTTGTGGGACTTGGTAATCTGCAGAGATTGTATCTTGAAAATAACCAGTTAACTAGTCTGCCAGCTGACATATTTGGGGGACTTGGTAACTTAAATGGGCTTCGCCTTCAAAGTAATAACATCCACAGTATCGAGGCAGGCACCTTCAATGACACAACAAAGCTAACTTATCTATTCCTTCAGAACAACAACATCAGCACCATCACAGCTGACACATTTGGGAATCTACTTCAGATTAAAACATTGTTCCTTTCTGGTAATAACATCAACACTTTCCCTGTAGAGGCCTTATCAAACTTGAATATTTCAGTGCTGTCAGAGCTTACATTAGATAATAACCAATTAGAGACCCTACCAGTCATGGCATATGACATACTGGCTTACATTCCAATAGTCAACATTGCCAACAACCCCTGGCAGTGTGACTGTAGGATGGCTCCCTTTAAGCAGAGGATGAGCGGGTCTTACCGATTTGAAGACCAGATCAGATGTGCCAGACCTGCTAACCTTACAGGGCAACTCTTACGGGATGTAAATCCTGAAGACTTGATCTGTGAGGAGACAACACCAGTCTACTCCACTTCTAGCACGAAACACATTCCTGACTCTACTGACCCTCCTTTTGCTTCGAATGTGACACTAACTGAGAGCACTACTGGCCCTGCTGATGGTGGCATTGTGCTGTCTGTTCCCTTGGTTGCTACTCTGGGAGCTATTTTTGGACTCCTCCTTATCTGCACTATAGCCTTTGCAGTATGGCGCATGTATAAGAGGAGGCAAAGGGATCCTCCTCATCAAGGCTTTAGCAACACAAACCCCACAGGCACATCCAGTGGTCATGACCAGATAAGGTTGCAGGCAGTTGGCACAAGTGCAGAAGTAAACAGTCAGTCTGAAACATCCCATTCTGATACAGACCACAGCGAGCATGTCTATGACGCCCCAATATATGAGGGCCCTGATGTTTCAGCTGGTCCACAGGGTGTAGTGTATGACTATGAGAATGAGGATGAGATAGAATCTACAAAGGAAGGTCCACAGTCCCACAAACATGAGAACAGCCAGGTGACAGCAGCTGCTAAATATGCTGCAGCTGGTCCACAGGATGCGGTGTATGGGAATGATGATGAGACAGCTAGATTGATTACTTTAGCTTCGCAGATTGATGAAGAGTTAGTTGATAACCAATCACAGATAGCGGCTGCCCCTGGTGCTGACAACCCTCACCACTATGAACCCCTGAGAAACCCCAGCAGTCAGCAGCAGCACACATACACATCCCTGATGCCTCATGGTTCACAACACAATTAGATGATTATTTCATGACTGATTGAAATCTAAAAATCTAGTTACAGTGTGAAATACTAGTAGTAGGGATAGTTTTACATGAAATTGATAACTTCAATATTGTAATTCAATATGTAATATGTAATTTAGCTCATAATTTTGAATTAGTGAGTTAAATTACATTCTTATACCACATAATACTTAGTAATACATATATACATGTAGAACATACCATATAACATAAGTTACATATAGTTGTGTGAAAACTAGTTACTGGAAGTAGGTAAGTTGAAGGGACCAGTAGAGAGAAAGAAGACACTGGAAGAGGGTAGAACTGACGGTTACTAAGGCAAGGACTTCAAAATGTAACTTAGATCTAGAAAGGGAATAAAATGGTTCAACTCCAGTCTTTGTGGTGTTCATGCCTGCAAATATGCTTAGTTATTAACCAAGAATTGAGAAGTGTTCATAAAGCGCCACCCAGTGACAGCATAAGGTACTGCAGCCACTGGCCTGTCTCCCACTGTCACAATCGTGCTGCACCTGACAACGTCTCAATTTAGCGCCACCTGGTGACGGGCTTATGCATTTGGTGTCTTGATCATTCAGATATTTAATTTCTTCAGGTTTTCATCCATAAAAAGTAGATCATGTTGCCTCACATTGCACTATTGAAACAGAGAAGAAGTATAAACTACACATTTTCTTTTCACATATTCTCACAAAGTTGGAGCTAAATTACATTTAGAATCAGGGAACTGAACCTGGGGCACAGTTAATCCATTCAAATATTTACATTCAATGTTAGGATAAGGCCACACCAATTTCATTTGTTGTTTCTCAGATTATTTTGGAAGAAAATTGAAGCAACAGGACAAAAAAAACAGGCCAGAGCATTCTATGATAGCCCCAAATGCTATGATAAGGGCCATCAACATGAACATAAAAGAGAGGGTTAAAATGTTTACAATAAATTTTTTTAACTTTTACCAAAACATTGAGAGATGGTAACTGTAACAACTAAGAAGAAAAGGACTGTTGGGGGCAGAATATTGTCGGTATTCTTAATTTACCTCAGAACCAATATTTTCAGAACAAATTACAAATTAAAAAAAATTGGTGTATCCTTACATGCAATATTAGGATAAAAGATGATTAGAACCTATTATTGCAAGAGCCCGATCTCGTTAATTATATACTCCAGTGAGCAACAAGACATAATCGAAAGAATTCTGTCCGAGGCAACCCACTTAATTTCTGGAAAAAAGTTCACTCAGCAAGGAAACTTTTGGTTATTCCACAGAATAACTTTTTGGTTTCTGACGTCAGAGTGCAGGGCTCAAAATACTCATCTGAAATCTGCAGTTCTGACAGGATACAGTTCAGGATTGGAGAAACCAATATGGACTAGTTACAGTTTTGCAGGGTGAAGAAAAGTCAGGATGGGTATGAATTACAATACTTATAGCTGAATAGCAGTATAAGAAAGTATGTTGAGCCCTGATATAGCAGTTTAGAGTGTATCACGTACAACTCATTATGTTCACAAGGCTGGCAGAGTTAACTACCACAGGTATCACCTGTGGGCATGCAAGATTTTCTGGGCGGTATCGGTTGAAGTCAACGTCTGTAATTAATCTCAGGTAGTCCAACCACCTCAGCGCTGGGTTGAAGGACACACAGAAAGACACAGTTAAGATGGACTCTCTGTGATTTTAAGGAGTTTGCAGACTTCAGACAACTTCCTTCCATACTGAGGTGAGTCAAATCAACTTCTTCTCAACCCCCTACTTGATCAGGATGTATTTTGGGGCCATAACAAGTAAAATCGTTTCAAACATTGCCAGATCTAAAATGTTTAGTTCATGCGTCATAACAAAATGGCGACGAGGAAATGTCAAACAGGGAAAATGTCTGAAGGCAGTGGTTTGGTTGACACAAAGTCAGACACCTTCTAGAATTATCCTTTCCTTCTAAGTTAAAGATCCAAAAAACTTTCTGTCTAGGATGTCTACCTCTTCTTGACACTCATACAAGCTGAAAGAAACTTCATAATTTTAGATATACTTGAGCATGACAAGGAGGAAACAATTACCACTGTGACAATATACACACTATCGGCTACAGGAGTGAATTATGATATACTCAAATCTTGCAGAAATGTTTCTAAATTTCCAAACTCTGTGGCTTGTTTACTGATCTTAGTTGTCAGATATCTTAAATTTCATCAGAATAGTGTACTTCATGTTTTTTTTATTTACAGACGGCCTTACACGCCCTATAATATTTTGTTTTTGCAGACGCCATTTCCTCATCAATGGGCCACTGAAAAAACTGTGCCCTGCAGTCTTTTCTTCTAGGATTGGAGCAGGATCTTAAAGATCTCTGCCAAGGTTAGTTTACTTACCAACTCTCACTTTTCTCAGCAATATTAGGCTTTGGAAAGTTTATTGGTTGTAGCACGTATTTAGTGTATATAAAAATCAAGGGGCCAAATTAAAACATTACTGAAAATGTATCTCCACACCTGAACCACTAAACCATCATAGAATCAAACAAAAACTACACATTAACGACAGCAAGTAACCTAAATTTCTTACTGTGCTTGTGTATTTTTGGAAATTAGGGGTGAAATGCTGAAATTAAATTTTTCTATTAAATGTAAGTCACTGACAAATCAGGCCTATGGCTGCCGTGACTTTCAACATCGGGACTGGAAATACTGGGTGCACGTGCACCTTAGTGCACTCAAATTTGGAGCTGTGCACCCAATTTTTTTCTGTGGGTGCATCCGAATATTTTTGTAGGTTAACGTAACTATGTAAAGACGTTAAGTGTATACAGCATATTCTTAACATCTAAGTGTCAGAGAAATGATAAAACCATTGTTCTTATAAATAGCACTTTTCTTAAGAAATGAAACAATTTTTGCTGGTATTCTCCTTATTTTACATTTTGTGGTGCACCGAAAAAAATTTTGTACACCCAATATTCTAGGTTGGGTGTATCAGTGCACCTATTCCCAAAAATGAATTTTGAGCCCTGAATATATGTCTATCAAATGAAATGTATGAATAAGTAAATCAGTCTACTACTAATCTCTGTTGTACAGGCGACACTTCAGTATGTCCAACAAAGCGAGGAGGATGCTGGTTCTGCTGATGATCATCCTGAAGGAAGCTGGCCCGACCGCAGCCTGCAGCAGCAGCTGTTCACGCTGTTACTGCTGGAGCAGAGGCCTCACCAGTGTTCCCCAGGACCTGCCGACAGACATCATTCTGCTTCACTTGGAAAGAAATGCCATCACAACCTTAAGTCAGTCTGATTTCTCAAGGTACAGGAGCTTGACATGGTTACACCTTGGTGACAATCAGATCTCCATGATGCAGAACAACACATTCCACAGCTTAACCAGCCTGACTGAACTGTACCTTCATAACAATCGTTTAACCACTCTGTCAGCTGACATATTTGTGGGACTTGGTAATCTGTGGTACTTGTCTCTTCGAGATAACCAGTTAACTAGTCTGTCAGCTGACATATTTGTGGGACTTGGTAACTTAGAGTGGCTTCGCCTTGCCAGCAATAACATCCACAGTATTGAGGCAGGCACCTTCAATGACACAACAAAGCTACGTCAACTAGAGCTTCAGCACAACAACATCAGAACCATCGCAGCTGGCACATTTGAGGGACTTGGTAATCTGCAGACATTGTTGCTTTACGGTAACAAATTAACAAGTCTGCCAGCTGACATATTTGATGGACTCGGTAACTTAGAGAGGCTTGACCTTGACAGGAATGACATCCACAGTATTGAGGCAGGCACCTTCAATGACACAACAAAGCTACGTCATCTAAACCTTCAGCACAACAACATCAGCACCATCACAGCTGGCACATTTGGGAACCTACTTCAGCTTCAAACACTGTACCTTTCTGATAATGACATCAACACTTTCCCTGTAGAGGCCTTATCAAACTTGAATATTTCAGCGCTGTCAGAGCTTACATTAGATTCTAACCAATTGGAGACCCTACCAGTCATGGCGTATGACATACTGGCTTCCATTTCAACAGTCAACATTGCCAACAACCCCTGGCAGTGTGACTGTAGGATGGCTCCCTTTAAGCAGAGGATGAGCGGGTCTTACTATTTGAAAACCAGATCAGATGTGCCGGACCTGCTAACCTTACAGGGCAATACTTACGGAATGTAAATCCTGAAGACCTGATCTGTGAAGAGACAACACCAGTCTACTCCACTTCTAGCACAAAACACATGGTTGACTCTACTCTAAGCTTGTCTCCAGTCAGCAGCCCTACTCCTTTTCATCTGTCAGAAATGTCAACATCAAAGGCATTGAAATTGCCCAGCAACACACCCACTGCTGACTCTTACCCAGGCTGGTCTATAGTCAGTACTGACCCTCCTTTTGCTTCGACTGTAACATTAACACTAACTGAGAGCAATACTGGCCCTGCTGATGGTGGCATTGTCCTGTCTGTGCCCTTGGTTGCTACTCTGGGAGCTATTTTTGGACTCCTCCTTATCTGCACTATTGGCTTTGCAGTAGGGTGCATGTATAAGAGGAGGCAAAGGGATCCTACTCCTCAGCAAGGCTTTAGTAACACAAACCCCACAGGCACAGCCAGTGGTCATGAGCAGATAAGGTTGCAGGCAGTTGGCAGAAGTGCAGAAGTAAACAGTCAGTCTGAAACATCCCATTCTGATACAGAAGACAGCGAGCATGTCTATGACGCCCCAATATATGAGGACCCTGATGTTTCAGCTGGTCCACAGGGTGTAGTGTATGACTATGAGAATGCTGGTCCGCAGCTTCTGGTTTATGAGAATGAGGATAAGATAGAATCTACAAAGGAAGGTCCACAGTCCCACAAATATGAGAACAGCCAGGTGACAGCAGCTGCCAAAGATGCTGCAGCTGGTCCACAGGATGTGGACTATGAGAATGATGATGAGACTGCTAGATTGATTACTTTAGCATCTGGTTCGCAGATTGATGAAGAGTTAGTTGATAACCAATCACAGACAGCAGCTACCCCTGGTGCTGACAGCCCTCACCACTATGAACCCCTGAGGAACCCCAGCAGTCAGCAGCACACATACACACCCCTGATGCCTCATGGTTCACAAGGCAATTAGACAACTAATTGATTGATTGATTGATTGATTGATTGATTGATTGGAGAATTGACTGATACATTCAACAACATATTGCATTGAGTGGCTTTGAATAATAACAATCTAAAAACAATGGTTGGCCCAATGTAAATCCACATTACATAAATTTAGTATGATGTAAGTAGCCCTTACCACATGTTATGGTGACGGAACTAGTTTAACTGCTGTGGACACTTTTTGTATATGTAAATAGTACATGTAATAATAATGATAGCGTCACTGTTGAAAGATACACTTTTTAACACTACTTTCATCGTTTTACTGTAAGATTTTATAGTTTTGTATGAAATTGATAGAATTCAGTGTCATAATGGGTCAGAGAGTTAAATCACATCAAATTGTATGAAAATGAGTTTTGACACAATTATTATCAAAGAGCTTGCTTGGTGGATACAAATTATAGCTGAAAGTTCTGTGAAAGAAAGTGTATGTAATCGGCTTGTATTAGACACAGGACTGCAATCGGCTTGTACATATAGACATAGGACTAGCATCTTGCAACTTGCAAAAGAGCAGCAGTTTCAAACTGTGTTGCGGATTTGACATTAAGTCTAAAAAAACAAAACAAAAAAACTAACATCGCCAAAAAGCAGGTACTCAAGCAACTGGATATGATTTTGGAAAATGATTTTCTTAAGTAACTGCTTTTTGGCGTATCGTATTACCTGGATGTCTAACCTTCATCGACGTAAAAAAAACTACCATCATTTTATCATAAAGATATCTCTGTGATTTTTATATAACTTTTATATTATAAACTTATCACTTTTCACATGTTAGGAAGAAAGGACCTAAGTTTAATTTCTGTGGCTATTTCTTATACATATACTGATAACGTTATGGTTGGAATTAATTTCTTTAAGTGAAATACACTGTATACATGTACAAAATGAGTAGACGTATTTGGTGAGGTAGTTTTGTATGGAATTGGTAACATGTAGTACGATTCTTTAATTAGTGAGTTATTAATTACAAAATTGCACGGAAACTAATAGTATGTGTATATAACTTCTAAACCTGGAGAAAAGTCTTTTTTGTTTACGTAAGCTAAAGTAACAGTTTAAGGAATTGTCTTGCCAATTTTATAATGTCCTGAAGCCTTTTAATTAAAAGATCTGCTTGGAGATGTATTAATACAGACTTGTATTGCCATGATTGTTGTCCATTTTTTCTGAACGCAAGGCGTCCCATAGCCATGCCCAACAGTACCATTGAAGTGTCACGAACATGCAAATGAGGGACCTCCCCATGCAAATAAGGCATCACTGCGTCAGCACCAGCCCCAAAACACCATCAATACACAAGTAAATAGACCTGTCCTTGGTGCTGAACACCATCCACACACAGGCAAACACACCTGTCCTTAGTGCTGAACACCAGCCACACACAGGCAAACACACCTGTCTTTGGTGCTGAACACCATCCACACACAAACACACCTGTCCTTGGTGCTGAACACCATCCACACACAAACACACCTGTACTTGGTGCTGAACACCATCCACACTATTTACAGTCTTGAACATTTGCATATTTCGTATCTTTCGAACCTTTTCAGATTTTTTAAAAGTTAAGAACTTTTGTGGGATGATTTAAATACAAGTTGACAAAGTAGGTTGACAAAGTGTGTGTGCGAGTGCGCGCGTGCGTGTGTGTGTGAATAAAAGAACAACATTGCACATATTTTGTTTTGTAATAAGACATTTTATTCAATGAATTTAACTACTTACATTCTTGAACATTTGCACATTTCGTATCTAAAGAACCTTTCTTACGTTATAGAATTAAAAATTAAGGATGATTTAGATACAAGTTGACTTATACCAATACGCAAACTACATGAGTGCGTGCGTGTGTGTGCTTGCGTGCGTGCACGTGTGCGTGCGTGTGTGTGTGTTTGTGAATGCAGACCGTCGAAAGATAACTATATAGTAACGGTGGGGAGGGGAGGGGGGTGCTAAGGAAGAGACTCACCCGTTCGAGGGTCGGCACGAGCCTAACAGACTTTATATCATTATTTACAATCTACTGCTTAACATTTATCAGTACCCCAAAACTACCCTCCCTTCCCAGATGGGGCAAACAAAAAACAAAACCATGGGGAGGAAAGACATGTTACAGATCAAATTCTAAATAAATACCTAACTCTTATAACAATCCATTTAATTCCTAAGAGCACGTCTTTAGAATTCTATGGATTTTAGTGGTGTCAATTCACGTGGGTTCTAACATATAGTACATACACAGAATACGTAAGTTACTAAGTATATAGAATAATTATTAGATCGTTTTTGTGTACGTGTGTGCAAGTGCGTGCAAAAGAACGACACCGTTGTTGCATTGTAACATTTTTGTGTTGTAAGATATCTAAATGAAATCGCGCTGCATTGTGGGCATCATATTTCAAGTCTCCAGGGTTTTCGCGAGTTACTTTTATATAAAAAAAAACGCACGGGTTAAAACTATACAACGTTTACATCTATACCACGCACGTTTTACAGCTATAACAACGTCGCGAGATGCCCCGCGCGCTGCAAGCAAGCATAAAGAACAACAATTAACCATTGATATACAAAAGCAACCACGTGAAATGCCACCACTAAGATTCTACCCAATATTTCATGGAATTTTTTGCACAATTCCATGAAAACTGGTTAACTAATACACAGTAGGTAAGGAATGTCGTGTACCACTCACAACATTCCTTACTTGTTCACCCATCCAATTCCACAAGAGTCTTGGGAATTCTATGGATTTTAACATGGCATGTGACACAACAGATTCAAACAACAAATCAAGAAATTAAACAAGGTTTTCGCGCCGCAAGCCGAATTACAACAGTATACAACGTTCGCGCGCGAGTTACAAATATACAACGCACGAATTACAGATATACATGAAACGCACGAGTTACTTCTATACAACGCACGCATCTTTACGTTGCCAAGGCAACTTCTTTGCCTTCCCAACAGAAAGATGGATGATGTAAGACTTGCATCTTTAAATCCGCGCATTGCAAGCGGTGGAGGGGGAAAAGCAAATCTTAACAGGAGGTAGGAAAGTAAGAGAAACGCAAACTCACCCCCGCCCTGTTGGAAGCAAACTATACAGGAACATCTGATTTACACAACTATACAGCCTGACTTCGGGCTGTTCCATTTGTTTCTACGGGTAAATATTCACGTCTCTCCAAAACAGAAGGTTCGTTCAATTGCCCAAACGGCGGCGCAAGGAAAGTTAGAGGCGTTTTTTTTTGTGTGTGTGTTTATCTTTTGCAGCATGTATTACAGGTGCTTTATGACAATTCTACTTTTGTTGCTTCGGTAATTGCGAAGCCATGGCGAATTCAATCCCCCCCCCCACTGAGGCCATGGTTTCATCCAATACCGTCGATTCACCTGCACGTCTTTCAAAGTTGTTATGAAAAATGCCGCCAGCTGCCTTTTATGATGAAGATCTCTTATGTCTTTTGCCTAAGGCCACACCGACTTAATTTTATGGATGACATCCTCTGAAGACCCCCAAACTAGTGCGTGCGGGCGAAAAAAAAAGAAAAATCCGGCCAAAAATAAAAATGCTACTAAACCACAGGAGTACAAAGCTGGTATTGTGAATTTGGCGCATTACATAGCGACGTGTACGACAGGCCGACACATGCTGGCTTTTGGCGGAATTTATGAATCGGTACTGTACGTATGTACTGAGTTCTTAAGTCGTGAGCTTCGGTAGCCTGGGTGCCCGGCTCCGTATTGTCTCTGACTTCCATGGACTACCCGGGCTTAAAGCAAGGACGTTCAACACATGCTTAAAGCCAGTCCACAGCCTCGGAAGACGTGATGTTTAGCACCGCCCAGTGAATTAACACCGTGTCAGGGTCAGCTTCAGTCCGATTGTGTCCGTTAGATATGTAGCCCAGCGGCTGCAGTACCTTCAACCGTCACTGGGCGGCGCTAAATCAAGAACGAGATAATCTTTACAATTACCACATCGACCAGTGAGATATTTCGCTTAAAAGGACATGTAGTACATTATGTTTATTCACCTCTGTAACCCTTATTTTGGATCTCTTTCAGGCAATTTTATCGGGCTTAAAATCATTTTTGTACTGGTATCTTTTTGTTAAACTGCCCTGACAATTGGATACTAGCCACCAAAAGATCTGCTTAGAAATTACTTGTAACAGACATTCAGCCCTAAAACAGTAAAGACAAGGTATCCAGGGTGTTGGTGATTCAAGGTTTTAATGTTTCAGCAATATAAACAAAGCTACAGGAAGGGTGATACTTGTAAAGGATCCATACTTTGAGTATCATTTATGAACTTCATCAGTTAAATGAAATACATGATATGTAATAAAAATAAAAAAGATATGAAAAGATACAAAACATCACTATAGTTCCACCTATATACTGTATGTACACAGCCCTTTCTAAGTTAACATCTTTTCCAATTGGTCAGTTCAGCAGCATCTGTTCCCTGATTGGTCAGGTGAGCAGCAGTACTGTCTCCTGATTGGTCGAGTGAGCAGCAGTACTGTTTCCTGATTGGTCAGTTCAGCAGGATCTGCTTCCTGATTGGTCAAGTGAGCGGCAGTACTGTCTCCTGATTGGTCAAGTGAGCGGCAGTACTGTCTCCTGATTGGTCAGTTCAGCAGGATCTGCCTCCTGATTGGTCAGGTAAGTGGCACCTGTTTCCTAATTGGTCAGTTCAGCAGGATCTGTTCCCTGATTGGTCAGTTCAGCAGCACTTGTTTCCTGATTGGTCAGTTCAGCAGGATCTGCTACTGATTGGTCAGGTGAGCAGCAGTCCTGTTTCCAGATTGGTCAGTTCAGCAGCTTCTGCTTCCTGATTGGTCAGTTCAGTAGGATCTGCCTCCTGATTGGTCAGGTGAGTGGCACCTGTTTCCGGATCTCCACCGTCCACTGCCCGATGCAGAAGAGAACAGCTGCAGTCTGAAGCGCCGCCAAGGGACTGCCTGTGGTATTGCAGGTGCATCAGTCATGTTATTAGTTATGAAGAAGCATATGTGTTCAACCTTTTAGATTTACAGACCAAAAGAGAGCTACTCTCCTCTTACACATCACAAAACCCACATAGATAGAAAAAGTATTTCGTCTTCCACTGTCTAAAAAACAAAAGTTAAACCAACAAGTGACAATTTAGATCCAGCTTTTAGACTATAGCAATTACTGTACATGTTATATTGTGCTTGTTTATCATTTCCTGACGTTCACAATTAGCCCTCAGGTAAGAAGTAAAATCACACTTTGAAGGTTGAATTAAACACAAATGAATTGAACTTTATTATAATTGATATCAACATCTTGGTTAAGACTTGGTCACCACAGAATATGATACTTCTTTTATGCTCTGTAAAAAAAAAAGAAACAAAAGTGCTCTTACCGAGTTTTTGTACGTAAAGCGCTCCGACCTGAGGAGTTGTGAGGAACACCAGGTTAGAGATGATCAGTGCCTCGAAAGGCCAGCTGTTCAGGAAAGTACGCAGTCGCCGCGACGATGCAGCACTCAGGTGCCTCACCTGGGGCAAACAAACAAACAAATAAACAAACAAAACAGCTGTTCAGGAGGGTACGCAATCGCCGCGACGATGCAGCACTCAGGTGTCTCACCTGGGGCAAACAAACAAACAAATAAACAAACAAAACAGCTGTTCAGGAGGGTACGCAATCGCCGCGACGATGCAGCACTCAGGTGTCTCACCTGGGGTAAACAAACAAACAAACAAAACAGCTGTTCAGGAAAGTACGCAATCGCCGTGACGATGCAGCACTCAGGTGTGTTACCTGGGGGAAAACAAACAAACAAATAAACAAACAAAACAGCTGTTCAGGAAAGTACGCAATCGCCGTGACGATGCAGCACTCAGGTGTGTTACCTGGGGCAAACAAACAAATAAACAAACAATCGCCGCGACGATGCAGCACTCAGGTGTCTCACCTGGGGCAAAACAAACAAACAAACAAACAAACAAACAAAACAGCTGTTTAACAATGTATGCAGTCGCCGTGACGATGCAGCACTCAGGTGCCACACATGGGATAAAAAAGCAAACAAACAAACAAACAGCTGTTTAACAACGTACGCAATCGCCATGACAATGAAGCACTCAGGTGATTCACCTGGAGTAAACAAACAAACAAACAAAACAGGTGAGCACTGTACGGTCAAACCTGGTCTCAGCAACCACTTGAGAATCAGGATATAAATAACATATGATTACTTAGGAGGAGTGGATGCTCCAGGCAAGTTTGTTGGCCGGATGATTGGTACAATTGTAACTATGAATGGGGAATTATGGAAAAACACTAAATGAAGATCTGAATACATGTACCGTAAAATGTAGATAAGTAAAACAAAGACTTTCATGGCTGTTGAATGATTTCATCCCCCAAAGAAATTAAAGCAACATCTTAAAGAATATTAGAAATGTTGATGACAAAAGTACGCACCTCCCATTCCCTAACTGCTGGCAGGCGCATGACCCGTCTAGCGAGGGTCTCTAGCAGAACTCCGAGGAACTGCAGCGCTGCCCAGACAAACAGGTTGTGTGAGGCGCCGTGCCAGTAGTACACAAACACAAACGTCGCTGTGGAAAGTTATGTTAAACAGTTATTCAAATCATAACCTGATCATGAAAAAGTTCCTAACCTAGCTGTGTAGTGAGAGGCTGGAAAGTGTTTTAAAACAGTTTTAAAACAAGACTGGATGACCATTGTGACAAGAAGAAATATCTGAGGAGTGAGAAGAGGGTGTTACAACAGGCAGATAGCCTTTTAACACTGAGGGATTCTCATTATGAGTGAATACCCAGTATTAAAGACCAATAGCACTCCATAGTTTTCTTTACAAGTTCTTTCCTTGGCATTGTTTGAATGCCTAAAAATAATGTTGTGATTTTGGCACCAAATGACCAGAAAAGTTCCATTTTGCACTTATTTATTCTTACCTACAGAAGCTGCAATCTGCCTGAGCAAGCCACTACGAGAGCCCCCTAGCGGCCAGTAGATGTATCGCACCAGCCACTTGTACAGGCCAGGATCAAACGATCTGGAAAAAAGTTTGAAAAATATGTAAACATCATCTTGAATACGAAGCAATTTTAAAAATTTTGCACACAACACTTGTGAATTGTCTGTCAGCACCAAGGACGGGAACAATAAGATGAAGTGTTGCTGATCTAACTACATGTAGTCTTTCTTCAGATGTTTTCATGAGCTTTGTAAAATTGGACTGTACAGAAAAGGGACACAACTCACAGGGCTTGAAATTCATTTTTGGAAATAGGTGCACTGGTGCATCCAACCTAAAAAATTAGGTGCACAGAAAATTTTTTTGATGCACCATATAAGATAAAATAAGTACAAAGTAGTATGTCAGCAAAAATGTTTCATTTCTAAAGAAAAGTACTACCTGGTATAACACATTATGATTGTATTATTTTTCTGACACTTCAATGTTAAGAATATACTGTATACCACTATACATTGTACATGCATTAACATACAAAAATATTTGGATACAGCCCGTAGAACAAAAATTGGGTCCACAGCTCCAAATTTGGATGCACACCCAGTATGTTCAGCCCTGTCAGTTATCTGCTTGGAGCTAGTGTACCTCCACATGTCTGAGAACTGGTAGATCGTAGCGACGCACTTCGGCTGCGGCGGGGACGAAATCCCGTCCAGTCTCGCGAGAGTTGAGCCCAGCCCGTAGAAAACCACGTACTTCACATGGAAGAACTGAACCTGCGCATAGATCAGACCATCTGGAAGGCAGGAGGTATCATAATTATGTAGCAAGTGGCAGGACAGGTTTGGAGGGTAAACACACAGACTCACAGATGCACACACACACACACACACACACACACACAGATAGACACAGACACACACAAAGATACACGCAAACACACACAGACACACACACACACACACAGATACACTGTACATACACACACACACACATACACACACACACACACACACACACAGACACAGATACACACACAGTACAGATACACAGTCAAACAGACACACACAGCAAAGTCACACACACTCACAGTCACACAGTACAAATACACACACATACACAGATCTAGATGCACACATACACACTCACAGACACAGATACGCATACATACATACACATACACACACAGACATACAGACACACTCACAGACACACTCATGCACGCACACAGAGAGAAAGAGAGAGATATACACAGATACAAACACACAGAGAGAAAGAGAGAGATATACACAGATACAAACATACATACATACACACACACACACACACACAAACACACACACCACACACACACACACACACAAACACACACACCACACACACACACACACACAAACACACACACCACACACACACACACCACACACACATACACAAACACACACAAACACAGACACACACAAACAAACAAACAAACTCACACAGAGAGAAGACAGACGCCTGTTGCAGGATGTCCATGCGAGCACACACAGCGTGGATGTAGAAGAAGTGCAGGGAAAAGTCCAGCAACAGGAACCAGAACAGCAGCCTGGCCAGGCCCCAGAGCACCCTGGGAAGGTTCTGCTGCCCCGAGTCGACCTGAGATAACCTCTGAGAAGACCATATAAGGTAAACATCAGTGATGTCATCAAATGTCGAGAACTACATGAGAAAACATAGCAGATCTAACAATGATCAAAATACAAGCATCAATCAACAGGTGGTTGTCATAATTTATCTCCATATTAGTTAAGAAGTTAAGGGCAGTCCTACCTGCTGTAGTTGATGATGTGTCCTGAGGGTGAAAGGTTAGGAGTCAGAGGGTACTAAAGGTTAAAAGTTAGAGGTTATGACCTTACCTGCTGCCTGAAGCTGCTGTAGTTGATGACGGGACCGGAGGTCAGCAGCGGCCAGTAGAAGTTGTAGGACAGAAGGTCCAGCAGGCTGTAACCGGCTGGGGAAGAAAAAAAAGAATGATTAATGTTTCATTAAAGTTTAAAAAAAAGCCAGAGCCGTATTAGCTTGGGATCACAACTTTGTTCACTCTCATGATCAGTCAATAATTATGGGCATTCGCAGCTAGATCAGTTGGGAAGCAGCTTAAGTTTTATTATGATACACTAAGAATAGATATAATAGGCTTAATAAGATGACTGTTCAACAACTTTGGCCTGAGATCATCTCAGGTCATCTAGCCTATTATATATTAGCCCTTCAACTCTTTATTCCTTTGCATCAATCAATGTCATCATCATCAGATTAGGAGTCTTAAAACAATCAAGTTTTGTTTGGCTTGATCTAATATTTAAGCATGGGTCTTATCCTAATGGATTTAAGCTACCCAATCTGTACGTACCTGGGTCTGGTTCTATCTCCCAGGTAAGCTCCATGCCGAAGGAAATGATTAGAAAGGTGGAGTACCAAGAGGATGTCAGCCATGAGGTTAGAGCCTAACTCATAAGAGGGCCTGCAAGGGGGGGTCCCGGCAATGCTCAGTATGCTGAATTCGGAAACCCTTGATTACGCTTTACGATAAATTCCAAGTGGCTACAACGCATTATGTAGAATTAAAACAGCCGATTACGCTCTACACAAAAATATTAGAGCGGTCCGTCTACACTCTACGTAGAATTAAAACGGCCGATTACGCTCTACAGAAAAGGGCATGCGGGCCCCCTCATAAGTACTAACCATTGAACAACTCACACTAACTAAACATTTAACAGAAATTAAATTGGTGTGGCCTAAGTATGCTAACTGTACCTACCCGGGTCTGGTTCTGTCTCCCAGCTGAGCTCCATGGCGAAGCTGATCTCCCGCAGACAGGACAAGGTCAAGGCCACCATGTAGATACTGTACTTGGAGTAGGACCTCACAAGGTTGTACTATAGGGGAGAAGCAAGGAAAAACACTCACTGTGAAAGAGAGAGGGCAGGGGAGAGAGTGAAAGAAAGAGAGAGTGAGAGAGAGACAGAGGCCGTACTGTAGGGGAGAATCAAAGAAAAACAATGAATGAGAGAGGGCAAGGCAAAGACAGAGAAAGAAGGGAAGAGATAATGGGCAGGAAAGAGAGGAAGAGTGGAGACACTGGAGAGAGAGTGTGTGTAAGAGAGAGAGAGAGCGTGCCAAGGGAGAGAGAGGAAGAGAGAGAGAGAAAAGAGAAACATAGAAAGAGAAATAAAGAGAGAGAGAAGAGAGAGAGGGACAGCAAAATACACTCAGAGACAAAAGAGAGAGAAAAAGAGAGCATGCAAGAGAGAGTGTGAGAAAGAGAGCCAAGAGAGAGGGAGAGGAGGAAGGAGAGAGACAGAAAGAAAGAGACAGAGAGAACAAGTACAAGTAGCTACATGCCAGATACCTACATGAAGAGTGAATGAGACACCAGGCTAGGCATTGTCAGACAGAGAGAAAGAAAGTTGAAGTGTTTGTGAGATAGGGCCTCAGAGAAATACGAAGAGTTACCCACATGCCAGGTGCTGCCGGGCTCCATGAATATAGTTGCCATGACGATGACCTTGACCCCCCAGACCAGCGCCGGCCTGCGCAGGCGGGAGAGGGCAAAGGTCAGGACGGCCTGAATCAGCACGACGGCGGCCGGTTTCCAGCCCAGACACACGACAAGACTGGAGACTCCGTATACAGCGTACAGGGGGGGCTTTGCCTGGAACAACAACAACAGGGCAGTCAGAGATGGCAGACTTCACCCCCTCACAACTCCGTACAGCATGTACAGGGGGGGCTTTGCCTGGAGTGGTGTAAGACATTACAACAGAGATAGAGATGGGACTGACCACATAACTAGTTCTGACAGACACACACAATTGCACATACATAGAAAGATATATCTGTATTTTTTTATAGCTGGTATAACCATCATTCCGCAGGCACATTAATGTAAGTCCACTTGCAATGTGCTTTGCAGGCACTTTACAAGATGACTTGTTACACCTAACCTTTGTACATTTAACTGCACATGCTGCTTATGATGCAATGATGATAGCCCTACTGTACTTGGTGGCAGTTCTAGGGAAAAACACAGTTTTGAACACCTGATCTTAAACAGGGAACATTTGGAACAGGGATGGCATACTTAAGGGTTGGTGGCCAGAGCTTCTAATGCGTGTGACCTATGTCTGAGCAAAACATAAGCACACCCCCCCCCCACA